GTGGTGAAAGCTTCTTTTCGTATTCAGTCCAGGGTCTCTGTAGTTTCCAGCCCAGGAACAACAGAAAACACAGGAAGAAAAAAAAAAAAAACCGACCTCTTAGGGAGATTCAGTCAGTCATCCACTGGCCTCTGGGTGTCGTATGAATCAGTTGCAGTCCAAGAAAACAGGGGCAGGGCAAGAACGAACAGTCTTCAAATGGAGTTCGTGTGTGTCTCTTCTACTTCGCAGTCCAGAGGAGCAGGAAAGAGTTTCGACTTGCAGGAGATGATTTACAGAGCACTGTCCCGCTGTGATACCATGTTCCAATCACTAGAGCAGAGGGCGGAGAGGAGAGGAGGAGAAGAGAGAGAGATTGAGAGAAGACTCAAACTCATACTGGTGGCACCCGTATTTTTGTCATATATACTAGGGCGAACGTACAACTTAAAAGAGGAAGAAAAAGACCAAAATGCCCCTTGTGGCATACACTAAATATTACATCAATTACGTTTCTTTGCAATAGTTGGGCTCTAAATTCTTAAGTATTTAAAGGCATCTCATTAAATGACATTCAGAGAAACCTAGAAGTCCTCTACACTTCCCCTGGAATTGGCTTCACTTGAACATTTCATCCTAGGRAGGAGAACCAGTTAAATCTAAGCTTTGACGGTAGGGCTCAAGGATCCACAGGTCAAGCAGGAGTCGGAGGAGTAAACCGTGGGAGTGGGGGAAGCATCTTTTGAGCTTTCAGTGGTCCGATTGGGAGAGCTGATGCCACCAAGGCAGGGATCTTAGCTGCCCTCACAGGTCTCCATTACGTCAAAATGTTAGGCCTTTCCTCTTTATCAATTGAGGGTGATTCAGCTAATACAATAAACTGGTTAAGGCAGAGGACTGGAGGTCCTTGGAGGCTTGCTCATCTGTTGACTGAAGCCAGAGATATTCTAAATACCCTGAATGCGAAGCTGCTTTGGATTCCTAGGGAATTAAACACTGTAGTTGACAGCTTAGCCAAATCTGGAGCCCATAGAGCTAATATGTTTTCTGATGTTTCTCTGCCTGTGTAACTCTGTTCCTGCCTTCCAAGGCCTTGTACTCTGTTAACTTATCTCAGTTATCTCTTAATAAAATCTGTTAACCTTTCTCAAAAAAAAGTGTGTAAGTGTTAATTGTAGAAAAAATAGGAGGAAAAAAACTTACTGAAGTACAAAAACCTTGTTATTTATAACATGACACAGATATAGAGGAGTGAATAAAAAGTGTGTTAATTGTATAGAAAGGGAAATGAAGGGGTAGACCCTTATTCTGGTAGTAGTTAAAAAGAAAAAAGATGAGTCATCTGTCATTCTAGATGATTAAAAAAAGGAACAAAAGAAGTGGCAAAGCCCATTTTATGTCTCTGTAAGTTTTAATGATGCCCTTTTACTCTCCTTACCTTATTTATATGATATGATATGGTTTAGCTGCAGTTATATAAAATTATTACACCTCCCATATGGAAACACCAAGGTGAGGCACAAGGTGATCCCTAGAAAGCATGTGGTCTCAGAGTGATCAAGGGTCAACATAGCCAAGTCCGGATATCCTCCCAACAAAAAATTGTCCCAACACGTTCCAACATGATCTGTGCCCGCACATCTCATGTATGGTGGGTCCCAGACTCATGGTGAGATGTGTGGACAGAGATCGTGTTGGAACCATCTTGGAACGGTTTTTGTTGGATGGGAGATCCTAGCTGAACATAGCCATCCAAATACACCTTACAATGTTTTGGGATTCACTTCACACTATAATCAAACCTGAAAACGAATGTCAACTGTAGTCCTTGAAGCAAGGCTAAGATCTTATATTTGCATGAATTCCACTTCCCAAGGTGTCCTGTGAAGATAAGAATGATATTCCCCAATTGTATTTTGAATGTTAGACCTTTCAAAAGCAACCTAGCAAGAAAAGAATCTTTGGGGGGGGTATCTCTTGCTTGGGACCTATGAAAAGATCATGAGAGAACACAAATATAGAAGAAAGTGGAAACTAAACTGATAGGGCGGAGTTCCGAGACAACTCCTATTTAGCCTACTCCTTGCCTAGAAGGCTAGATCATTAAACATTCAGAAATTTGATCAGGACAAACACTTCATTGATCTCAAAACAGCTGAAATTTTTCTGAAAGCATAATATCTGCCTAAGACCTCGAGGGAGGGAGGGAGGCTATAGTTAATTAGATATAATTGATTCTATCAAATAGTGGGATGCAATAGATATAAATGATTTTATTTAAGTTTATTTTTCGATATAATCTTATGATGCTAGATGAATTTATATACCAGTTTCGTTGGCAGCTAATGTAAAAAGTTTGTTGTTGATCTATAAAGTGTGGTCTAATGGGGATTGATTTTGATGAACAGATCCTGAGCTTATGTGTATTCATTCTGTAGAATTTTTTTCCACTATATCTGCAGTTGTTAGGTTTCTGTCAGCCTGTATTGATTGCTAAGTTTGTAATCATCTTCTAATTCTTTGTTCTCTTTGTTTTTTTTTTTTTTTTCTGCATGGGAAGGAGGTATATAAAAGGTTTTCTGCTTGAGTTCTAGTGCAAATAGGTTCTGGATAATAAACCATGGAGAAGGTCCTCCCATGTTGCTTTTGAAACATTCATCCACTTTTCCTGCTCTGGAAGATGGAACCCTTCCTATTAAAAGCTATTGTTAAATCTCTATAACCAAGACAAACTTTTTCATCATAATCCCAAAGTGGAAGAAAGAAAAATGGTTTGGCTAACTATTGTATTCTTTGTTTCATTTAAGTTCTCTTGTTGCAAGTGTTTAGAAAGCATGAGCATTTATTATTTTGGCAATTGATGTGTTTTTATACTGCCTTCCACACTATGTACTGAATTTGGGATTGATCTTCCTTCTGTTGCTCATTTTGAGTTGTTTGGTAGTTGAAATATTGATTCCAATATTTCATACAAAAGTTTGTGTCAGTTGACAGTTATCTCTTTTTAGCTTTTTTCTTAGATATTGGAATGGTTGTGGGTACTCCTTAGCTCTGGAGTCATTGGTTGACTTTATGTCTGACAATGATCGCAGGGTCATTCTTCATTCTTCAAGTTCTCTGATAATTTAGCGCTGGATTTGTTACCCAGTTGATGAAGTTATTCTGATATAAAATGTGCTTGGTCTAGAAAAAAAAAGGAAAAGAAAAAGAAAAAAAGTTAGCCATATGTATGAACCTAACAAAAGAAAAAAAAGGAAAGAAAGAAAAATTAAGGCCAAATAAGGTAGACACAAATTGGTTAAAAAAGAAAATGGTGTAAAACCAGTTTTTTGGAAAAAGAAAAGCGAGACAGGAAAGGGGGCAAAAAATAGATGAATTTCTTATATAGGAGGAAAAAAAAAAAAAGAAAACAAAGAAGGAAAACCCCAAGTGGAAGGATTTTATAATTTATTGGCAAAAGCATTCGGATTGGTGAGAAGACCAGGTCACTTGACGTGAATTGAAAGACAAATCCAAGCTGTGGGCATATGCTGACTTAGCTGCAGAAGCCAGAGTTCTACTAGTGATGGTCGTGAATTCCTCAAGAACATCTAATTACATTGCAATATATGGTGAGGGGTCTTTGATCTCCTTCTCATGACCTTGATCTCTTATTCTCATATGGTTTGCTTAACCATGATGGGTCATCAATAATATTTGACAAAATATAGGTGATATTGTTCCCATGAGGAATCTGGTTGCTGTTTTCACTATATAAAAAAATGTTTTCCGGGTTGCAGCGTTTTCTATGAAGATATATTGCAAACATAAAGAAACAGAGATAATCTGGTTTTACATTAATGTCTATATACTGTTATATTTATTTTATTTATTTACAAGAAAAACTGAGCTTGTTGATTGCCTAATTTGACTGATGGCCAGCCACAAAATTGTGGGTTTGGATAGTGCTAACAAAAAAGCAAAGACAATTATCTAATGTGATTTTGTTAATCTAATTACTGGAAATATTTTGTATATGCTTCTGGCATGCAATTATTTCTTAGAGTTGTCATATAATAATATTTCTATTCATAGAAATAATACTATTTGTTTAAATATATTAGACGTGATTTTTACAGTTAACAGTCCTGATTTTTGGTTTTTTGTTGTGTGTTTTTGTTTTTGTCATTTATCCTTCTTTTATTGATTTTGCACTGTATCGATGTTCTCTGTTATTACAGTCTTATGGTAGTAGGGTTTCTCTTTTCTTCATTAATGAAACTCTTTTTGTTGTTGTAACCGTTCTCTGTGTATTGGGGAAGATTGAGGGGGGAGGGGGTTCCCTCTGGACAACTGCATATTCAGCCAATCCAAGCCATCCACCAACTAGAGGACCCTCTGGACAATCAGGTCAAGTAGGGAGTTCCCCTACAACTGCATATTCAGCCAATCAAAGCCATCCACACTAGAAGACCCTCTAGATAATCAGGTCAAGTAGGGAGTTCCCCTACACAGCCGGCATATTCAACCAATCAAAGCCATCCACCATGGTGTCCCTCTGGATTTATCATCAGTTACAAAATCACATCAGCCCTGTACCCAAGTTTTTAGCAGTTTCTCCAAGTGGTATTTGGCTGTTTGAAGTTATAATATTTTGACATTAGATGTCAACCTAAAATAATTCTTTTCTTTTCCTCCACATCTTGTATGATAAGGTTTGTTCTAATATACCATAGATGATATAATTGGTTAAAACGGACCAAGGTTCTTCTAGGTGTGAATGTATCCAGATTTAGTTATTTGTTCTAATAGCCATGCTTATTAAAATAAAATTCAGAGGTTCCACAGGGGATCGATCGGTTTTCCATGACAGGTGAAGTTTTTAGTTGGAATTGTTTCGTCTATTTGGACCGGTGTTATTATTACACTCACATTTATCATTTGTACGGAGTCAGCTGTTGAATGCGGTATTGTTCTGCTGTTGTAGTTCTAAGCTGACTTCAAATTGTTACGCAAAACCATGGATGAAATGATATTTGCAGGTTGATTATTCATGCACCCCAGAGGAAGTGCAGCAGCATTTCCAATCATGTGGAACAGTGAACAGAGTGACTATATTGACAGACAAGTTTGGCCACCCAAAAGGTTTTGCTTATGTGGAATTTGTGGAAATAGAAGCAGTTCAAGAGGCTCTCCTCCTAAACGAATCTGAATTACATGGCCGCCAATTGAAGGTTTAGTCTTGGGAGTGAACACACATGCTCTACTTTTAGTTTTAGGGCTGAAATTGAATTTCCTCATCAAATGCATATGGGCAGGATCCCATTCTATTCAATATTTTTCGATTTGATAAAATGCAATGAATGTACACTTGTAGGTTTTAGCTAAAAGAACCAATATTCCCGGGATGAAGCAATTTCGTCCACGACGTTTTAATCCATACATGGGGTACCGTTTCCGGAGGCCGTATGTACCTCCATATTTTTACTCTCCATATGGATACGGGTATGTTAATGTTTTCTTGGGTGCAGACCCGATCTTTTTTTTTTTTTTTTTTGGGTGGATTGTTGATGGATCTCTCTTTTGCATCTGTTGCAGGAAAGTTCCCAGGTTCAGAAGGCCAATGCGTTACAGGCCCTACTATTGAAAGGCTCTGTTAAAGTATGCAAATGGAAGATAAACACATATACAGTATGCTCTACTTGAGACTTGAGAGTCGTCCGACAATAATTAATTATTGGAGGACTACCTTATGAATGACGAGTCTCTTTGCTTTATAACCGCTATCCATTTCAGACATCGTGACCTCTCCCAGATAGAGTAGAACAAAAAAGCAAACTTATCTAATACTCTGCTTGATGGTAGACAATGCGATTATGTTGTTTGGATATTTACCTAAATCGTGTGGCTGGTATCTCCATTTTGGGCCTGTAGTCTATAGATACTTGGTCCTCTTAACACCCTGAATTTATATATCTAGGATTAAACATTTTGACTTTTAGGCTCAGTTTGGGAAGAGTGCAAATATAAATATGTATTTGTCTTTAGCGCCTAGCATTAGGAACGTAAATTGGTTCCCTCAGTTTCGAAGGATTTCAAATACAAATATATACAGTGCAAATGCATATAAAATAAAACAAAATACAAGGTTTTGCATTTTACATATTTGTATTTGCACTCTTTCTAAATTAAACCTATGGCKCAGTTTGGTAGGAGTACAAATACAAATGTGTACTGTGCAAATACATACAAAATACAAGGTTTTGCACTTACAAATTTGTATTTGTATTTCTTCCTAATTGAGCCTAAGGCTCAGTTTTGAAAGAGTGTAAATACATAATTGTACAATGCAAAACCTTGTGTAAGATATTTCTAAACCTTGTATTGGTACCGTATATTGTATTTTGAATGTATTTATAGGTTCGGTTTGAAAAGAATACAAATATAAATGTGTATAATACAAAAACATTCAAAACAATACAATGCAATATAAATATGTACTATACAATACATACATACAAAACAATACAGAATATAAGGTTTTGCATTGTACATATTTATATTTATACCCCTTCCATACTGAGCCTCTTGGCCGGAGGATTTAGGGATGGATATGTAGTGAGGGTTGGTTGCTCTACTTCAACTTCTTGCATCATTTCCATCCGATGACCAATCCATCAGTTGGATTCATTGTTGGATTAACGGTGGATGTTAAACCCATTTTGTCGATATAAGTTTTATTGTCAAGAAGTTAGGTAGGGAAGGGGACACGTGACTGACACCAACCCTTTGCGTTTGCCAACTACTTCACTGATATTTTATATCATTCACTTGGTTGGTGGCCATGTTACCTGTCCTTGTTGGACAACCTTGATATATTATTATACATCCGATCAGCTGGCTGATGGGCGATCGTCCCCACCCATCCATTCTCATCAATACTTACTGCTTGCTCACGCTCTTATTGATAGTTGACACCTTGTATTTTGCACATTCTTCCGAGATTTGAGAACGTCGACCAATTCTAAAATGAATGGTTGAGATTTAAAAGATGGGCATGTTTTTGCAGTTAATCACGATCATCATCAATTCTTTTCCCAACCCTACCATCTATGGAGTCGGCTAATAACCATCAGAGTTCGACAAAAGTCTTATGACAACTGCAAACCTAACACAGACCTCCCTACTTCAAATGCACAGGCTAAGGAGAGATGGTGACTGATGAATGAACATGTGCCCTTCTTCTCTTATGACTAAAGGCTAAAGCCTAAAGATACAGTTTTTAATTAATCCAAAAAGAACCTCTCACAGTTTGAATCTGAGAACAATAATAATTAGCCATGGCCTTAGCTTTATTCATCTCAACTCTCAACCATCATGTGTTCCAGTATACATATTAATTAATACAAAGTACATCCCAACATAGGATATATTAAGAAGAGGGCCATGGCCATTCCTAACGGAAGAACCCACGCAAATAATGAATAACCCACACAACCCTCCCCAAGTCCTTCCTACCTACAGCCCCCCCAAGGAACCAATGGCGCTCTGCGTTCCGATCCTCCTCTTTCTAAGCCGCTCAGCGATGATGAAGGCAAGCTCCAGAGACTGAGATGCGTTGAGCCTTGGATCGCAGTGGGTATGGTAGCGCGAGCTCAGATCATCAAAGGTCACAGTCCGTGACCCTCCGATGCACTCTGTCACGTTTTGACCAGTCATCTCTAAATGTACACCTCCGGGGTGGCTGCCTTCTTGCTCATGCACATCAAAGAATGCTCGGACCTCCGCCTGCCAACAATTACAAAATGATGATGATGATGAGAACATGAAATGGTCAAAGACCGGGGGAAGGGAGGAGGGGTGGATGGCTGAAATTGTTTCAAACGGATTATTCCATGTTCCAACCTAATCTCCAAGACAGAAACATAACCACTACCACCCCCAGCAACCAAGAAGTTTCCCAATCTCCTAGTTGTATATGCATGTATTAAGAAGAGAACCATTATTTCCACTTACCTATACACTACCACATCTTTGTTTTACTAGGTCGGTCTATTATATATTTTAAAACAATTCATTTGGTGATAAATTTTATCCGCCCATTGGTGTTACTAGGTCGGTCTATTATATATTTTAAAACAATTCATGGCTCAAAGACGACACTACAGTCACCAATACCAATACCAACACCAATGGGCTTTATTTATTCAGTGGAGAATGGACCATTCTGCAAATGATGGTTAATTATGTAATACTTATTGGGCGATGGTTGGTGTGTAATCTATCTAAACTTAAATTCCAAAGGAATTGAAGATACTGGTGGGTAGTGTATATGAAGTGATTTTATTTGTAATCGCATTAATTGAAAAGGAAAAAAGGGAGAAAAGACATACCCTAATTGCATCGAAGGGACGTGTTTTGAGACCACATGGAGCTTTGATGGTGTTACCGTGCATAGGGTCACTAACCCATGTGACGATTTGCCCTGCTCTGCGGACTGCCCTTATCAGATGCGGAAGTTTCACTCTCATGTTCTCAGCTCCCATCCTCGCAATTATTGTTATTCTCCCGGCCTTGTTCTGTGGGTTGAGGATTTCAATCAGCTTAACTAGCTCATTGGGGTCCATTTTATCACTCACCTGCATCATGCACCAGAAGCAGCAATCAGCTTCTCTCTCTCAGAAGTCAGAAATCAGAATCAAATGAAATGAAACCTCCTTAATTACCATAAAAACAAAAACATGATACTCAAAAGATAAGTTGAAAATAAAAAGTGTCAACCCAAAATTTGGGAGAAACACACATACGATTTGATAAACAGAACTTTGAATTTCATAAAATTAGAACAACTATTATGGTATGTATGTATGTATGCCTTAACTAGCTCATTGACAGGTTATGTATGAGTTAAATGGGAAGTATCTTGCTCTGTTCCAAATATATCCAAATTCCATACCTTGATTCCAAGGGGATTGGCAACTCCTTTGAGGAACTCGACATGGGCTCCATCTAGCTGTCGGGTGCGTTCCCCAACCCAAAGCATGTGAGCGGAGCAGTCATAGTGAAGGCCAGAGGTGGAATCTTCCCTAGTGAGGGCTTGCTCGTAGGGCAACAGCAAGCACTCATGGGATGTCCAGAACTCAGTCGTGGTCATGATTGGGTGGTCTACCGTGAGCCCAGCAGCAGTCATGAACCCCAGAGCCTCGTCAACCCGGTGAGCCAGTTCCCGGTACCTGTTTGATGTTTGAACCAGTCAATAATCAGAAAAACAAAAAACATATTTAAATTAAATCACAGAGTAGTTATAAGCTTAATTAGAACAGATACAGAAAATGACTGGCCATATAAAGTTTGAACTTTATATAATTAGATGCAGGGAAGGTTTGAACTTTGAAGGAAGGAAACATATAATTAGATGCAGGGATTACCCAGTTCACTAAATGACATGATTCACATCATAAACCAACAATGGGAAAAAAATTAACTCTGGCTGGATAATTGATGTATTGTATACCTGTCTCCCTGTTCGCTGTGCTCAGTGAAATCGAGATTCCACTGGGTAACTCTCTGCATGGCTGCGTAACCTCCCGTAGCAAAGGCCCTGAGAAGGTTTAGAGTCGCTGAAGCTTGGCAGTAGGCCCTAATCATCCTCTGTGGGTCCGGAACCCTCGACTTCTCATTGAAAGCATCGCCGTTGACATTGTCCCCTCTGTAACTCGGAAGCTTCACTCCGTTCTTCTCCTCGAACGGTTCTGATCTCGGCTTTGCGAATTGACCCGCCATTCTCCCCACCTAAACCAAAAGCGGCCCACATCTTCAGGCTCTTGTAATTCTCCATAAAAACCTAACTTCGAAGAAGGAACCACAAAACAGAGGAGCAAAGAGTGACGAAAGAGAGAAAATAGCAGACCTTGATGACAGGCATCTGTCCTCCAAACATGAGGACAACACTCATCTGGAGAAGAATACGGAAGGTGTCTCGGATGTTGTTGGCGTTGAACTCCTTGAAGCTCTCAGCACAGTCGCCGCCTTGCAGAAGGAAAGCCCTTCCCATTGCAGCCTCAGCGAGGCGATCCTCCAGAGTCCTCGCTTCACCAGCGAAGACAATCGGGGGGAAAGATTCGATGGTTTTAAGAACAGATTCGAGCTCTAGCTGGTCTGGGTATTCAGGGAGCTGCAGAGCCTTCTTGGATTTCCAGCTATCGACGGACCATTTGCCGGAGGTGGTCTTTGGGGATGTGGAGGTGGGAGTCGACTTGGATGGCTTGTCAGCGACGACGGGAGTTTTGGCAGGCTCAGCGGCGTGGACGGCCGAGATGGGCTTGACAGATCTGGACATGGATTTGTTGGTGGGGAGAAGAGAGAAAGAGGGTTGGTGGGGTTTGGAGGAAGGGAGTAGGGATTGAGATTGTAGAAGAGATTTGGAGGAGAGACCACAGCTGCTTGGAAGAGCCATTTTTTTGTTCCTTCGGAAAAAACTACCTCTCTCTCTCTCTCTCTCACACTTGTTCAACTTGGAAGATGGAAAGAAAAAGAGAGAGAAAGAGTTGCAGAGGATGCGGGAAAAAAGCCCTGAAGGAAGGTAGAAGAAATGAGAGGGATTTTATAATGTGGTAGCGTTTGGTTGTTGGGGGTGGGGAAGGTTTAGCTCATGATGGAAGCGAGAAGGGAGTAGGTAGGTCGAGTTGAGCCTCTACTCTCCGGTCTCCAATGCAGGCGGAGGGCGGGAAGCGGCCCAGGCGGGTGAAAAATATCGAAATAAATAAATAAAGAAAAAGAGAACACACACAAACACAAGTGACGTGACAATTGGAATTGGTGGAAGACTGAGGGGTAATTTGGGAATAAATTAAAAGTATTTTTTTCTTGATAAGCAGATTACAAATTAAGATCAATATATATAATCTGGTTTTGTTCGTAGTGCTTCGTCATTCACCACCAATTATGACGGGACAGACTTTAGCTGTTCGGGGCCAACATCGAGAGAATTTATGGAAATGCCACGTTATCATAAAAATAGGTAAATTAATAATTACATATTATTTTATTTTTATTAAAAACYAAAATATAGACGTGAATAGGTAAACTGCTCAAAACGTGTCCAGCCCAAAAACGGTCTGTTGGACCCCAACAGCCAAACAGGTCGTCCCGTCCCAATACACGGCGTCGGTTAATGAACAGGAAAATGGCTATGGGTAATGGGATGTGATTGATTGCTGTTCCCTTAACTTAATCTTATTCCCATCCAAGGGAGTGGAACTTTTAATACGCATGTGGAATTTTTGGAAAAAGAGAAATTTCATGATAAGGCGCATGCATTATGCGTGGGAATTCAGATGACAAATCTTGACCAAGAATTTTGTCCTGTCTGTCCACGATGATTTTAAAAATCTCATCATATGCATCATGGATCAAAAAAAGATATTATTATTATTTTATAGATATGGGCCATATGGCATCTTTCCGCTGAATATGAGAATATCCAGCTCCAGCAAATGCAGCCGGTGGCCACCCACGTGAGGTGAGACTCTTGGGTAGGTTGGTCGTTGGTGTGTGAGATTAAAACGCCTGGCTCGGAGGTCCGATCAAAACATTTTTCTCTTTTCCTACAACAAACAAATTAATAGCTTATACATTTATTAACCAAATTAACATGTGATTGATTAATGGTAACGGCGGTAGGCTTTGAGCCAGTTTGGACTGTTGGATTTGATTTGATTACCAGTTTTATTTGACGAGATCAAAAAGAAAAATTCACTTGTTGGGATGGGATCATCTGTCCTCCCATTCTCGAATCTCCTTGTCCCGGATGCATGGTTGGGGATGTGGAGCTAGGTCTAAGTAATCATACCCGAAAATACTAGTTCCTATCCGATTATCTTGTTTTCGGATGATTTTAATATATAAATTTTATTTAATATCAAATGTTTCTATATATTATATTAGTGGGGATCCGTGCGATGCATAGAAAAATCTATAAATTTTATAATTTTATTTGCTATTAATTAATTAATAATTAAAATTTATTGTTAATTAACTAAAAGTATTCAAAATTAGTGTTAATATTTAAAATTTTAATAATTATAATTTTCATAATTTATAAAAAATAATTATTGTTAATTTAGTATGAATCAAATATTTTTTAATAAATTTAGTTTTATTAATCATTTGTAGTAATTTTAATATTTGCTATAACTTTTATTATTTTTAAATGAATTTTTAATCAACTTTAAATGAATAAAAATAATTATAAAAGTTAACATTTTTATTAATTTTACTAATAATTAACAATTATATAAGAATGGCAATGAAGTAGGTTCAAGGTGGGGCACCCCATAGTCAAGACACACTACCCTATCCCCGCCCCATCCTCGATGTCAAGCTGGTTCAGGGCAAGGCACCCACTCCTTATCAAGGATGGGGAATCCTCAAATTTTCTCCACCCCGTCCCTAATGTCAGGTGGGTTCAAGGTAAGATACCCACAGCCCATCAACCCAATATTCAATTTGATGACAAAAATGATCAAAATGATATATTGAGTATTGACCACAAAGAAAATTTCTAAAACTACACTAAATTGTCTTTAATTTTTAAATATGTAATTTTATTACAATTTTGGAAAATTTATTATATTTGTGTAATTTTAAAAATTTATTCAAATTGTTATTAAATAATTTATTTTATTTTTAAATAGTTTACTTACAGAATTACACTAATTTATCGTATATTTTCTAATATAAACTAATCAATATATAATTTCCTTTTTCCAATATTATACTAATTTATCTTAATAATTTATGTAATTATTGATTCAAATTACAATTTTCCCTTTCGCATACTCATTTATCTTTTAATAATTTTCAATAATTTACAATGAAAAATATATAATTTTTCAATAGCTTTCCAAAATTTATCAAATGTAATAATTTTCCTAAAATTTCCAAAATACTTCAATATTTTTCAATAATTATTTAATACATTTTAAATAAACTTTCAAATTTTTTCTATCATTTAATTTCCAAAATGTTATTTTACAAAAATGTAGTTTTATGATTTTTTTTTGAAAATTTTATTACATTTGTGTAACTATGGATATTTATTTAAAATTATTATTAAATATTTATTTTTATTAGGTAGTTTACTAACAAAATTAAACTAATTTATCTTTTATTTTCCAATATAAATTAATTAATAATTTCATTTTCCAACATTATAATATTTTATTCTCCTATCTGCATTCAGTTATTAACTATGAACCAAAATTTTATACTTTTTGATAATTGTTAAATATAATTCTCAATTTTATAGAAATTAATTAAAGGTTTTCAATTTCTATAAAATGGTGTTAATTAACATGAATATAACACTATTAACTCAAAATAATTTAAAAAGTCCTGATGAGTTAATTAATAACAACATTTATTAATTTTTGGTAATTTACTAACCGCATTTATTAACTTTTGGTAATAACACTATTTAATACTCGTTGAATAAGGGTTGGATTAAATATTAATTATATTTAACTATTTATTAATTAATATGAATATTTTAAATGATAGAGAGTGAATATAGATTTGGGGGAGAGATTTTAGGAATTGATTGGGGAGCAAGGTAACATGATAAGTTCCTAATGGTTTAGATGAGATACCTTAAGAGAGTGATTCTAGGAATATTTTTAGGTAGTTGGACTGGGAATGGTGACATTATTTAATGGGAGTGGTGGGAACGGGAGAGGAGAGAGAGTCAAGGAGAATGTAGGGTGGGGGTAATGGAGCAAGAAGAGGCATGACAAGGTCGCTTTGATTGGCCAAACAAACCCAAAAATCGACCCAAACCAATACAACCCAATTGAGTTGGTTTTCACAAATGGTCAGTCAGTTTCGAGTGACCAACTCCCCAACCTGACTAAGTCGCTTTGGTTGGCCAAACAACCTACAACCAAACCAAGCCAACCCGTATACACTCCTAATTTCAACTAAATTAATAGTCTAATATGCAACAAATAACAATAATTAATGAAAATTTGTAGCAAAAATATCCAATTATTGAAAATATATTGATAGTAAAAATACAATAATTACAAAAAAAATACTAAAAATATATTAAATTAGTCAATAAATAGTATAATCTCAAATAATAGTTTAATCTCTAATAAATATTAATCAATAAATTATAACAAAAATACAATAAGTAGAATAAATTAAATTTAAAATGTTCAATAATAGTAGTTTAATCTCCAATAATTATTGAAAAGTTTCTATTAAATAACAAAACAAAAAATAAATTTATGCATAATTATTGAAAATATTTATCACAAAAACAATAAATCATTACTGAGTGTAATAAATAATAATTTTAATATATATAATTATATAATAAATATATATTAAGAATTTAAAATTATTAATAAATTTTAATTTTTAAAGGTTATTTTCTCGAATTATTAATTGATATAGGTGGAATTAGTTATTTATAGTGGGTTGATTTTTGGTTTAGACCAATTCTTAACGAAAGTTCCATCTTTTCCATTAGATTCAGGACATTCAAAAATGTTTATCCACCATATTACATCAAGTCTTATTGATTAAAGCATATCAAGCTATGGATCTCCATAATCCAAACCTTATTTGACCAATTACAACCATGATGAGAGACCCAAAAACCCTAATACCTCGAGTTTCACGACCTAATTCCTCCATTTGACCATTAAATAAGATATCATTTCAAGCATTCTCATTAATTGATGAGCCATAATCTAAAATCTTGATCTAGATCAAACCTTTCAATCCATATCTCTGATCAAGATCCGTCTCTTCCATTAGATTTAGGGCATTCAAAAACACCTACTCACCAAATTTCATCCTAAGTTTCTCTTATTTGACCCACTATTAAGTAAATATTTTGTTTTAGTAAATCTCATTGATTAGAGTTTATTAGTTATAAATATCCATCATCCAAACCTTACTTGACCAATCGGACATCACCACCATGTTTAGAGACACGAAAAACCCCACTATATCAAATTTCACGATCTAATTTAATTGTTTGATTGTTAAATTAAAAAGATTTGACACACCAAATTAAATTACCCATTCATTTGGCCAAACCTAAGATCTCAAGATAGTGGGGGATGATGTTATTCCTTTACTACTTAAACCCCGTTGGCCCATTAAACCAATTAGGATAAGCCAAATAGACTAAAAAAACCTAAAACCCCAAAGTGACATTTCTTAAACATAGATAATGACATAAGAGCTATTATGGCTGCTTCAAATTTATGCTTTTTTTCCATTGAGATGTCAAATTCTAACCACATAGATAGGTTAACAAAAAACCCCATTGGGTAGAGGAAACCTAATGAAAATTCATTGTTATTCATAATATTTTTGAACCATCGTTGACTCGAATGGTCGAACCGTTCGATCTAGGAACTATCCAAGCAACCGATTCTGTTTTACCCCAAACCCGGTCCTTGGCAAAAAAACCGTTGAATTGGTCAATGACCCATTGACCCGAGTGATCGAACCATTGACCCATTCAATGGTTTTGGCCATTTTTTATTTTAATTTTTTTTTATTTTGTTGTCAAAAACAGATTGTCTGTTCGAATTGAACATGAAATCGTCGACCCGAAAACTAGTGGCCAGAACAATTCCAATTCCTGGTCGTTTTTTAAAACATTGATTGTTCATAAGATATTTCTATGGACACAATCAATACCATCAAAGATA